GCTAGTTATCAGAGAAATGCAAATTAAAACCACAATGAGATATCACCTCACACCAGTAAGGATGGCCACCATCCAAAAGACAAACAACAACAAATGTTGGTGAGGTTGTGGAGAAAGGGGAACCCTCCTACACTGCTGGTGGGAATGTAAATTAGTTCAACCATTGTGGAAAGCAGTATGGAGGTTCCTCAAAATGCTCAAAATAGACTTACCATTTGACCCAGGAATTCCACTTCTAGGAATTTACTCTAAGAATGCAGCACTCCAGTTTGAAAAAGACAGATGCACCCCCATGTTTATCGCAGCAGTATTTACAATAGCCAAGAATTGGAAGCAACCTAAGTGTCCATCAGTAGATGAATGGATAAAGAAGATGTGATACATATATACAATGGAAATGGAATATTACTCAGCTATAAGAAGAAAACAAATCCTACAATTTGCAACAGCATGGATGGAGCTAGAGGGTATTATGCTCAGTGAAATAAGCCAAGTGGAGAAAGACAAATATCAAATGATTTCACTCATCTGTGGAGTATAAGAACAATGGAAAAACTGAAGGAACAAAACAGCAGCAGAATCACAGAACCCAAGAATGGACTAACAGTTACCAAGGGGAAAGAGACTGGGGAGAATGGGAGGGTAGGGAGGGATAAGGGCAGGGAAGAAGAAAGGGAGTATTATGATTAGCATGTACAATATGGGGGGTGGCACAGGGAGGGCTGTGCAACACAGAGAAGACAAGTAGTGATTCTACAACATCTTAGTATGCTGATGGACAGTGACTGTAATGGGGTTTGTGGGGTGGGGGGGCTTGGGGTAGGGGAGAGCCTAGTAAACATAATGTTCTTCATGTAATTGTAGATGAATGATAACAAAATTTTAAAAAAACTAAAAAAAATGCACATTAGGTGCTTAATAAATGTTTTCCAGAAAAAAAAATTAATGGATGGATAAATGCCAGATTTTACAGATTTTTATCAAACTCTGCTTTAGGAAATTTTACCTGACCGACCCTACCAAAAACACATTCTCAAAATACTTGAAGAAATATAAATCCTACTTAAATATGCCTCCCCTTCCTTTTGCAATAGAAAATAAAGAATAATGTTGAAAAGTTGTTCACATGTAATAACCAGAAAAGAAATATATCTTTTTCTGGTATAATATACAGATATAATTTCAACAAGATATTACCCTGAGAATAACATGCCAACTTTACCAAAGACATGATCCACAGAATTATATGGCAAATATGACACAGGGAAAAAATGGCCAAAAAATATATATATAGTAGACTGAAAAATGGGTATTTTAAGTAAAATTTTGGATATTTAACAATGACAAATTAGACAACTTACTAATTATGCCTAATGACTTTCAGAGGGCTTATATAAAACCCAACTACCCTCTAACTTAAGAGTTTCTAACATTTTTTAAAAATAAAAGCTAACATTTATTGAGCACTTAATAAGTACTACTTACTGTTCTAAGCACACTACATATACTAAACTCATTCAATCCTTACCACAACTCTTAGCAGTAGATACTATTATTATTTCCATTTTACAGATAGGTAAAACAGACAAGTAATTTGCCAAAAGGTTACATAACTAAAGAGCCATAAAGATACAACTGTAACTCCAGCATTCTATCCCCAGAGCCTGCAATATTAACCACTATGCTATAAACATAGACCACCAGCTTTATTTAATGCACTCATGTAATTGAATGGTGCTTTAATTACCTATGTATTTGTATTATCTGAAATTACTTTTTTTTTAGGAGCCAGTATCTTATCGCTTAGTCATACTCCACTTAGAAATACAGTATACTATGGAGTACCCAACAGAGGACAATGTACAGGCCTAAATAGTGGAATCTGAGGTATTTAAACTATCCACACTGTATGTTCAGATTTTGATTTTTTTTTAAGTAAACAAAAAGAAACCATCAATTCCAATATAGGAATCACAACCACACGGGAAAAAGCAATCAAGATTCAAAAAAAAAAAAAAAGCTTCTTTTGCCACTATAAAATTCTTGTATTCTTTCATTCAGTTGCTATGTATTTACTCAACTGTGTTCAAGATACAAAGTCTGAAGATTTTCTGATGCACTAATTGGCTATTATTGTGGATAAACTTGAAAAGCCTCAATAATTAATTCTCCTCTTGGGTTGTTTCCTTGAATACCTCCCTAAAAATGGAAGGGGCAAGCTCTAAATGGAGTTCCTTCCCTCTCCTCTGAAGCCCAACATCCTACCAGATAAACCAAGGCACTCCTGCTGTCGGGGAAGAGCCAGACACCCTAAATTATTTAAGGTAATTTAAGTTCCCTCTGGTCAGAGGGCGGAACAGAGAGTCAGGAAACCTGGACTACAGGGCCAACTCTGTGGTTTCCTAGCTAAGTAACTTAACTTTTCTCTGCCAACAAATTTCAGTTCAGGTTGTTCAGACCACGAAATTGGCCAGGTTAGTCTTTGAATTGGGAAAACAACGGTGAAACGTCCACCATCACTCCAATCAGCTTTTCCTTGAGAGAAAACCCGCTTGAAAACCTAATTCCTAAGGCCAAAACCTAACTGGAGGCTAGCACCCGAACCCAGAGAAACTGAAAGGGGTTTCAAAGGAAGAACGCATCCTTCTACCTAAGAAATATACTGACGAGGGAAAAGTGTTTAGAAACTTCGGAACTCAAGATGAATTAGTTTTGATGAGAGGAAGCGGGAGCAGGGGTAGATGTTCCTTTATCGCGGGCGACTCCGGCGACCCGTGGAAATTTTCAAAGGCGCGGGGTCGCTCCAAGAGAGTTCCCAGGACTCAGCTACCTTCTCCTCACCTGAGGCACGAAGATTTCTCGGCTGTCTTCTAACTCGAGCCAGCGACGACCCCGACGGTGCCGGAAAACCTCAATTTGCCACAGGTCTAAGTCCCTGCCCTGGGGGAAACTTGCAAGGACGGACAGATTGGGCCCACGTCCGCCCCAGCAACTGAAGGATCCGTCTTCCTTTAGTTCCGCTGTTTCCAGCCCCCAGCAGCCACTGTTGCAGCTCCTGGGGCGGAGGATAAGACCCTACCACTGCCAGGTTTAAATTCACTTTTACTAAAAAAAAAAAAAAATGTCTGATACAACTTTAAATCTAACTTTGCATTTTATCCTTAGCTGCACTCTTTTGAGTTTACTAAGAATCTTTGTTAAATTTGTGCTCTAAGAAACACCCCAGTTAGTTATACTGCGATTTTTAAAAGGCAGGAATTTGTCTCCTTAGCACTACGTGTTTCAAAACTTTTGGTTCTTTTTACTTCATTTCATTACAAAATACACCAGTCTCTTGACCTTTCTGTTATACTGTTTAACGTCTTGCCTTATAACGTTAAAATTTCTGTGCTTAAGCTAAATATGCAGTTCCTTAATAAAACGGACCTCATTATCTGAACACTAAATGGCAAGAGTAAGCCACAATTTAAAGTTAAATGTAAAATAATTACTTACATTTGGTGTAGAAACACCTGAGACTGGTAAATATTATACAATATGGGTGTCAAAATGAAATGTTAAACACTTCTACTGATTCACCAGTGTGATCAGTGCAATTTTACACGAAACTGGTAAAGCATCCGTATTTTGAGACTAGATTAAAATAGCATTTTACTATCACTTAATCTAGAAAGTATTTCAGAGACAAATGACTGAATTCTGAATCGGCTGGTTTGTACAGTTCTAGAGGAATATTTTCTTTTAGGGATTTTTTTCAGTTTCCTCTTCAGTAAAATAAATAGTACCTACATCTCAATAGGGCTGTTTTGAGAATTAAATGAGATTAGTATATGTAAGTTAATAAAATGCCTGTGGCATCAAAGGTAAAGTTCTATAGAGTGACTGCATATTTGAAATAAAAGGGTTTCTTAATGTTATTACCAAACTCAGCACCACACAAATAACTATTGCATTAGTTAACATATATATAATATAGCCAGCAATTAGTAGTTTTACTGATGCCCTGTCATACAACATCCATCACATACAATTAAGTGTTTCTGATTTTCACTAGGAAATAAGTATCCATAATATGGGGATTTTCCATACATTGTTTCATTAAAAATACTCTGTAGTGTTGTGCCATCCTATTTATATGGTGATATTGAATCGCCAGAATATAAGCACCAAGAGGGCAGGGAGTTTGACTCAACTGGATGCTATCAGACTCCTAAGCTACAATCAGTAATTGCGGAATAAATGAATACAATAATAGTAAATACAAAAACAATGAAATCCAGATTGTATTAAAAATATCCTGAAAAAGAGATGAGTTAGCAAACATATTTAGCATTTTTCCATGTATTTTTTTTTCAAGTGTACACTCTGAAATAATACCTACAACCTAGGGCTAGAAAACTACTGCATCCAATAATGAAGTAGGCCAATAAACTTAAGTGAATTTATTTTGTAATGCCATCATTAGAAAGGAAAATAAAAAAATCAGCCAAACACCAAAGAATTTCAGTCAGGAAGTAGGCCTGGGAGTCCTGAGAAATGTATACTAAGGATTCAAACCAAAAGCCCTGCACTTTAAAATAATTGAGGTGAATTGACCCCAATCTGGTTTGAGATAAAGCGGCTGGAAGAAACAGGTTCCTACACCTTCCAGAGAGTGGAAGGCCTAACTAGTCAACACAGAAAAAAAAATACCCAGAACCCATTATGACACACTCAACACGCTGTCTTGACCCCTAGCAGAGGCACACGCCAACCCCTGCCCTCACCCGTCTCACTCACACCCTAAACCCTGAGACCCCGCCCTGCGCCCGCGCGTCTCGAGATGGCCTGGAGCTCCCACCTGCAGCTCCGGCCCAGCCCCGCCCACCTCGGCTACCGCCTCCGGAAACGGCCGTGCCTGTTGCCACGGCGACGCACAGTTATGCGGTGTCCACTGCGACGCGCGGCCGAGGTTCCTGGCTCCAAACGTGCCGCGGCAATGTGACGCGATGACGTTAAGAAACAGTAGCCAATGAAACGACGCGCTGAGGAAGCTGGCTTGTGTTTGAATCTTGTGGTTGAGTTTGATTCGTTGCCGAGGTGAAGTGTCCCGGTAAACTCTCCTGGCCTGAGGTGAGTGAGAGGCCCGCGAAGAGAAAACTCTGGTCACAGGGACATCGCTTTTGAGGACCTGTGTCGCTGGAAGCGAAGGGTCCCTTGCCTCAGACGTAGAGGACCAACCAGGTGGACTTGTTGACAAACACGGAAACGTTGAGTCGGAGTGGGGATAGGAGTGGGTTTGGGGAGTGGGGGATAGTAGGCGTTCCTGTGGAGAAAATGAAAGGAAGGAGGAATTTTAGAACCCGCTAGACCCTGGCTGGGCCTGATCAGGAGACCTTGACTGTTAAGGAGGAAGAGCAACAGGGATCTCCTGCTTTAAATTCTGAGGCAGAAGATTTAAAGGGCATCCTGGCCATTTTCCTAGACTTCGGTAAAGCACTTTACTGTCCAGCACCGTACAGCGTAGAGTAAAGTGTCTCCCAGACTCCAAATTTAGAGCGTTTCGGACACAGATAGATGTAAATGTTACTCTGGGCTTAACTATCAAATGAGGAGCCTTGGTTCATCAATTTATACACTTTTTGCCCGGCGAGGTTCTGCCGTTAACCTGGCAAAGGTCAATATGGAACCTGACCTGAGTTCCAGTTGTAGTATAAAGATAAGACCTCCAGCACTGCCCCACAGGATTTTTGAGTAACTGATGATTTGGAAGAGAGGGTACATGGCAAAGCGTTATGCAAATGAAAGGAACTTAAAACATTGAGAATCAGTCCTTCACTGTTCTTAGTTTCTGCACACTCTCCTTAAGGGGCTTATTAGGGTTTCAGTTACCGAGAGATCGCTGCAGTTTATAAAAGATTAACCAGATTTGAGTAATTCTGTTTTATAATATATGTAGTTTATAATATAATATATGTAATTAACAGTCGGATGAACCGTGTTAGGCATTATACAAGTTTTCGTAGGTAGAGTTATTCCACTACATTCAGATTTGGGGAGGTATTTGTGAACTTCCGTGCTGGAGACAACGATTCAAAGACTAGATAGTGTTTGTTACTAAGTTTCTGTTTTTTCCTAAGAATTGTCTGTTTCAGTAAACAAAGATTATCTGCCTTTATGGTGGTAATTAATCTCCTCCTTTCACTAATCAAGTATTTAAAAGTACATAAAATTTTCATTCTATAAGTGCATCTCATCCCACTATAATTATATCTGGAATCAGTTAATATCACAATAAAATGATCTCTATGCTGTCAGCTCTATGAAAACTGGGAAGAAAAAATAACCCAGTTGTCAGTGCTGCCCTTCCCTCCATTTGAAATTTTTGTTCTTCCTTGATGCTTGTAAATTAGTAGAAGCAGTGACTCTAACAAAAAGTTATTTCCAAAATGAAATTTTAGTCGCAGAAACTATAAATGATACTGAGGAGGATGATCCTGGTCCTAAAAAATGTCTGTTCAGTCTGAATCTAATTCAGGTTTGAGTTTGTTTTTAAGAAATAATTTATAATCTATCATTACACATTCAAGATAATTTGTACAATATTTCCATTCCATTGTTTGAAAGTATCTTCTGATTCCAGTAGAGCATGGATGAGAATATAGACTTTGGGTTTGTACCTGAGTCAACATGCTGACTCCTCACTAGCTATGTCATCATGAAAAATTCCTTACCCTAAAGCTCAGTCTTTGTTTTTGTAAAATGGAGGCAATAGAATATACCTTAGTGATTATTTTAACGATTGAATGAGATGATGAATACTTAATGTTTGCTGTAATGCCTGGCCCAGAGAGTGTGCTCAAATGATAACTGTCATCTATTTGTCACCATATTGACCTAATTCAAGAGTTCTCAAGTAAGAGGGCAGTTGCTGAGAATAGATGCTGTGTGATATCCAGCAAACACAGAGAAATTATAAACTTTGTTTTATGTCAGCATTCATTCAAAAATGATACTAGGCCCTGAGGTTTCTACCAAAAATAGACAAATATGTATTTTTCTAATAAAAACTCTGGAGATTATTTATTTCCATCAGGGAGAATAGTGATGAAATACTTAAACTTTAGACTCAATCAGTCAGAGTTCAAATCCTATGTCTGGTGCTTCCAGTAAATGTGATGTTAGCCTGTTATATCTGTTCAATAGTTTTATTCCCCCTATAAAATAGGAATGATAATAATTATTTCATAGTATTGTGAATGAGTATTTAAATTGCTTAGTACATCTATCTGTATTTGTAGAATAAGAGCCGAATAGAAAATATTTCATAAATATTGCTTATTAAATGAAAAATAGTTTCTTGGTTGTTTTTGTTTTTGAAATAAAATTACCTAGATTTGTCTAAAATCCAAACACTACGAAAGTATAGAAAGTAAGCCTGCTTGTCACCCAGACCTACGTATTTCCCCATTGTGGGACAATTGATGTTATTAATTTCTTGAGTGCTCTTCCTGAGAGAGCCCATGCATATACAAATATGTATGTATCTTATAAAAATACAAATGAATATATATAAATCTCCTGTGTGTTTTGCACACTATCTTCAAAATCTGTACTAGTTGATTTATTCATTTATTCAACAAATATGTATATCTGGTTTGAGATAAAGCGGCTGGAAGAAACAGGTTCCTACACCTTCCAGAGAGTGGAAGGCCTAACTAGTCAACACAGAAAAAAAAATACCCAGAACCCATTATGACACACTCAACACGCTGTCTTGACCCCTAGCAGAGGCACACGCCAACCCCTGCCCTCACCCGTCTCACTCACACCCTAAACCCTGAGACCCCGCCCTGCGCCCGCGCGTCTCGAGATGGCCTGGAGCTCCCACCTGCAGCTCCGGCCCAGCCCCGCCCACCTCGGCTACCGCCTCCGGAAACGGCCGTGCCTGTTGCCACGGCGACGCACAGTTATGCGGTGTCCACTGCGACGCGCGGCCGAGGTTCCTGGCTCCAAACGTGCCGCGGCAATGTGACGCGATGACGTTAAGAAACAGTAGCCAATGAAACGACGCGCTGAGGAAGCTGGCTTGTGTTTGAATCTTGTGGTTGAGTTTGATTCGTTGCCGAGGTGAAGTGTCCCGGTAAACTCTCCTGGCCTGAGGTG